TTGCTGAGAATTTTTGTTTGCACTTTGATTTTGGCAGAAATCCTTCATTGCCTATTTCCAAAGTAGTTCCTTAGATTTTTGGTTGTTGTTTTTTTTTTCTTTTTTTTTTTGTTTTTGTTTTTGTTTTTTTGTTTAAGGTCCTGGTTTGAAGGTGAAATCATCCTTTGGGATTCTTTCTTCTGAAGTGCAGACCCTTTGATAGGCTAAGTATGGCCTGCATGGGTTTGAAGTAGCTCTAGAAAGTGCCAGTCTGTTCAGCAGCCGAGCTCTCGGTGCCTTAACCAGGGTGTGCTGTCACCTCCTCACAGCCTTCCCTACAGAAGAAGTAAGAATCAGAAAAATGCAGACAATAACAAGACTGAAAATCAACCTCTGAAGTTACCACATCCCAAACTATCAGGTTTCTGTTTCGCTGTTGCCAGTACACAGAAATTTCTGTTGTTGGTGTTCATTATTCCCTGGGAACTCTCCCATGCAGCACGGCAGGGTCAGGACGCTGTGCCTTGGTTCAGCAGGGTGGGTGTCACTGGCCACAGTCAGCACCCTGGGGTGCCTCTGTGTGACACGCTGGGGGTTGGACACGTCAGACACATGACCCAGGTGTGTGTGGTCACCTCCCTGTCCTTCCTCGGTGCCAGGCTGCCCTGGTGGAGAGGGTGGCACAGAGCCCCCGTGCCAGGCACAGCTCCTGTGCTCTGCTCAGGGACAGGGAGGAGTCACAGCTGCTGGGTGACACGGGTGACACGGGTGACACGGGTGACGGGAGACTGCCGAGGGAATCTTGCCTCAGGAGGGTGGGACTGGAAGGGTTCAGACAGTTCCCTTCCAGAGGTGATGCCCTCAGGTGCAGGAGGGAGAGGGTCGATGCTGGCTGCAGGGAAGCGGGCAGTGCTGGGAGATGGAAAGGACGATAAATCCCAGGGGTTTGGGTAACGTGGGGTTTAGGTGACCCCACAGACGGAGAGCAGGGCATGTCCCTGTGCAGAGTGTGCGCGGGGCGCAGAGCGGAGCCGGGCCACAGGGGCCTGCTGGCACCAGTGTCACTCCACAGAAATACCTGAGCAGGCAGGTGAACCACACCGAGCTCCGAGCGGTTACTGCAGCAATGCAGCCCGGCCCGCGCGGCTTGGGCAGCAGAGGGGGCCAGAGCCCCGCGGCTGCGGAGCGCACCGGGGAATGCACCGGGAATGCACCGGGGAATGCACCGGGGAATGCACCGGGAATGCACCGGGGAATGCACCGGGAATGCACCGGGGAATGCACCGGGGAATGCACTGGGGAATGCACCGGGAATGCACCGGGAATGCACCGGGGAATGCACCGGGAATGCACCGGGAATGCACCGGGGAATGCACCGGGAATGCACCGGGGAATGCACCGGGGAATGCACCGGGAATGCACCGGGAATGCACCGGGAATGCACCAGGGAATGCAACGGGAGCGCACCGGAGCGCACGGGAGCGCACCAGGGGATGCACCGGGGAGCACACCGGGGGATGCACCGGGAATGCACCGGGGAATGCACCGGGGGATGCACCAGGGAGCACGTTGGGGAATGCACCGGGAATGCAGTGGGGAGCGTGCAGGAGCGCACCAGGGAATGCACCAGAGAGCACATTGGGGAATGCACTGGGGAATGCACCAGGGAGCGCACCAGGGAATGCACCGGGGAATGCACTGAGGAGCGCGCAGGAGCACACCGGGGAATGCACCAGGGAATCCACCAGGGAATGCACCGGGGAGCGCACAGGGGAATGCACCGGGGAATGCACCGGGGAATGCACTGGGGAATGCACTGGGGAGCACACTGGGGAATACACTGGGGAGCACACTGGAGAATGCACTGGGGAATGCACCGGGGAGCACACTGGGGAATGCACCAGGGAATGCACTGGGGGATGCACGGGAGCACACCGGGGAACGCACGGGAGCACACCGGGGAATGCACCGGGGAGCACACTGGAGAATGCACTGGAGAATGCACTGGGGAGCACACTGGAGAATGCACTGGGGAATGCACTGGGGAGCACACTGGAGAATGCACTGGGGAATGCACTGGGGAATGCACCGGGGAGCACACTGGGGAATGCACTGGGGAGCGCACTGGAGAATGCACCGGGGAATGCACTGGGGAATGCACTGGGGAGCACACTGGAGAATGCACCAGGGAATGCACCGGGGAGCACACTGGAGAATGCACCGGGGAATGCACCGGGGAGCACACTGGAGAATGCACCAGGGAATGCACCGGGGAGCACACTGGAGAATGCACCGGGGAATGCACCGGGGAGCACACTGGAGAATGCACCAGGGAATGCATTGGGGAATGCACTAGGGAGCACACTGGAGAATGCACCGGGGAATGCACCAGGGAGCACACCAGGGAATGCCCGGAGCTGCTCCGGGTGCACTGGCTGTGCCCAGGGTTTGCTTCCCAAGTGGCTGGAGGTGACTGATGGGCAAGGAGAGTGAAAGGAGCAGGGAGAGCTGAGCCGTGGAACTCTGCAGGCATGCAGGGAGATGCATTCTTTGGTATCCAGAGCTTCCTCCAGGGGTTCAGGTTGTACTTATGCCTTGGGGTCACAACAATTTGCTTATTGATGTTAGGAACTTGGACAGGAATTCCATGAAAAATACATTCCTGTCAAGCTGGCGGGCTTCACCATGCTGAGGGGACGGCCTTGAAATTCCAACAAACTTTGACAGACATCTGCTGATGTTTTGTCAGCTGCTTTCCAGTTTTAATGTCCAAGCTAATGAGGCAGAGGGTGTTCTCTGGAGCAGCGTGGCTCTGTTGGCTTCTGCCATGAGTGTTCTGCTGTGAACCTTCAGCGCTTCCAATGAATCTTATTATGGCACGAATGGTGGGAAATTATTAAATTACTCCCATAAATGATCAAAAGTCAATAATCATTTATAAAAATTCCATTCAATTGAAGTGATCTCCTTAGAATAAGCTTCAATCAAATGAATTGATACAGGAGGCAGGTTCGTGACCTGGCCCCTTTGCTTCTGTGGTGCCAGTGGTCCTGGTGGTGCTGAGCAGCCCTGTCCAGACAGGAGCTTGTGGAGCCCTGCTGGTTTCAGGGCCCTGGAGGGGAAGGAACATAGGCTGGGGTTCTTCACACAGGCCCAGACTCATGGTAGGCGCTGACCGAATGCTGCCTTGAATTTTATTTTTTATTTTTCGCTTGTGTCAGTGTTTTTTTTCTATATCCTTATCATAGCAAAGTGAAGTTTCTATTTCTGAGTAGTTAAAAATTTACATGATAATGGGAAATCTGTAAAATTAGGTGGAACTGCAATTTGCATTTCAACCTGAAATTCAGAGAGGCTGCAGCCTCTTCATCACTTCTGCCTACTTTGAAAGAACATATGCTACAGACACAGCTTGTGAAAGGGCTCAGGAGGCAGGTCATTTGTGACACACTGCAGCCTGAGATGCCAACATTTAAGCAAAGATTTTGACTGGTGTAGCTTAGCTGGGGCATTGTGAAGAATGAAGCTTTGTGAAGTTTGTGAAGAATGAATGCTGGGTTTGTAGCTGATGGGAGCTAAACTGAAGCTAAACTGGGGTACAGAATCCACAGTCTGTACAAGCCAATGAAAACGCACCCATGATCTTCAGAGGATGCTTTTGCAGGCACTCCTAGGACTACAGCTGCTTCACCCATCTCCTAACTCATGTTTTTTCTGGGGAGGGGTCCATGTCACTGGAAACTTCAGAGCAATGTGCAGCTCCTCCCCAGGGGCAGCTCCAGCTCTGCTCTGGGACAGGGACAGGAGCCAGGAACGGCTGGAGCTGGGCCAGGGCAGCTCAGGCTGGAGAGCAGGAAAGGTTCTTCCCCCAGAGGTGCTGGCACTGCCCAGGCTCCCCAGGGAATGGGCACAGCCCCGAGGCTGCCAGAGCTCCAGGAGCCTTTGGGCAGCACTGCCAGGGATGCCCAGGGTGGGATTTTGGGGGGTCTGGGCAGGGCCAGGGGCTGGGCTGGGTGATCCTGGTGGGACACATCCAGCTCAGAATATTCTGTGACTCTGTGATACCTTTTTTTAAGCTGTGTGTGCCTGTATGTTCTGCAACACCAAGGCAAGAAAAGGAAGATCATAAAAATGTGAAATAGGCTTCAAAATTCCTGTATGAAGACGCCTACAAATAAGTACTGCCTTGTACTATTTGTTTTTTTGTTTCTAAATATTTAAGTTACTCTCACTACACATTTTCAAATATTTTCCATACCCAGGCAGAATAGAAACCTCCTTTTTTGTTTTGGGGACATTTTCTGAGGAGAGATAAGATTTTTTTATATGGTCACTTCACCATGTTTCTGAGCATTAAAGGAAGCACCAGCTCAGGCAGAACTTGAGATACCAACCCAGAGCTGATCCCATGGAGAGTTAACAGACTGTCAGGAGGGAGACTTCCTGATTTTCCCTGCATGAGTCAGGAGCACCTTGTTCACTCCAACCCAGCAATGGCCCTGCTTGAACTGAAGTCACTCAGCAGGAAACCAGTGGCCCCCCATTCCCTGTCTGGCAGTGGCTGTGGCCTCAGCTGTTACAGAGGAAGCAGAACAGGAGCTCTGTTCTCACTGCCCCCATCCACCTGGGGGTTGTTTTGCCCCTGGGACAGGTGTGAGCTGCAGGCAGGGCAGGTGTCAGATACTGTCCATGCATCCATCCATCCATCCATCCATCCATCCATCCATCCATCCATCCATCATCCATCCATCATCCATCCATCCATCCATCCATCCATCCATCCATCCATCCATCCATCATCCATCCATCCATCCATCATCCATCCATCCATCATCCATCCATCCATCATCCATCATCCATCCATCCATCATCCATCCATCCATCCATCCATCCATCCATCCATCCATCCATCCATCCATCCATCATCCATCCATCCATCCATCCATCCATCCATCCATCCATCCATCCATCCATCATCCATCCATCCTCCTGCCTCAGCACGGTGTTAGTCAGGCTGTGTGCCTTAGCTCTTCTGGCTGGAATACAAACCAAAACAGTCCTGCATGGCACCAGCCATGAGCTCAACATCACAATCAAGAGCTCAACAGTGACCACACCTGCTCTGGAGAAAAGCCAGCAGTGTTTGGAGAAGCAGCTTGGCAGTTCTTTGCAGCAGCTTTTTCCTTTGGCTGCTCCATGCTGGGTTTCCACACAGGGAATTCTTTGAACCAAACAGGAGACACTTGTGTCAGCAATTGCCTTCTTGTGGGCCATCACCCACCCCTGTACACAGATCACAGCATCCTGCAGGACTGAGCACGGCCAGTTACCTTCTCCCTCTGAACAACTTGATTTAAACCTAATGGAGATAGCTACAAACTGGGTCCTGACCCCAAAAATAGCAGGCAAGTAATGAGGGAGAATAGCCTTTTGAATAGAGAACAATGGAATTACATTTCACATTAATTCCTGAATTACTCTCATATGATGTCAAAAAGTGAGGCTTGAGGGATTTCAGATCATGTCAAGGTCAAAAGAAACCCCAAGGACAAACTGTGACTTTTTTTACTGTTCAAAGGAATTGAAGTCCCTCAAGGTGTCTTCTGTTGAGAAACTTCTACTGTAGTAGAAGCCCCATCCTGGGGCTTGTTAGAGCTGCTGTAGATCTGTGTGTGACCCCAGGATGCTGCTGAGAGGGAGGCTTTGGTTCCCTGGCCCCCTGGAGTCCTCAGGTCCTGCTGGAATTCCCATACAATGAAATTTGAAGGGGGTGTCCTGAGATCCAGTCCAAGCTCTGCCATCTGCCCAAGCCTGTGTTTGTTGGTTACTGTGGTGGGGTCCTGTGGGACACAACCTGGAAAGCCACTGCTTGTGAATGGGGAAATTCTTCCCCTTTGCCCGACTGCTGAGCAGAGCCAAATTCTTCAGAGTCCTGGACCATGAATCTGCCATTTCAGTGGGTTTGTGTTTATTGACAAATCATGGGTGAATTACAGCCCTTTTTGTTTTCTAGGAGACCAATGGGATAAAGTGTGTTTAGGCTAAAACATATTTGTTCCATTTTTGGTATCTTCCCCTCATACATGCCCTGTTGTTTTGTTTGTTTGTTTGTTTGTTTGATTGTTTGATTGTTTGTTTGTTTTTGGAGCTAAAGACCTTAAAGAAAGCGAGGGCCCTTTGCTTGTACAACATGTTGAGGTTAATTCTGACCCCCTGCATCATACCCACAGCTGCTTGCACTTTGCAGATTTGCTCCCCAAGGTGACCCTCCCACTGCCTGCTGAGAATCCAAACCTTTTGAACGGCCCGGAGCTACATACACCTCATGTTGAACGTGGGGAAGACACTTCCAGAGTCGCAGATCATCTGTGGAGAGCAGGAGGCTGTTCCTGGGAGGCCATCTGGATGCACTGCTTGTTCTGTGTCATGTCCTGCTCCCTAGGGCCTCGCTTCCACTGCTGCACAACAAACCCAAGGTGCTGCTGTGCCTCCAGCCAGTACAGGACTTCAATCACTTGTTGTTAGTGCCTTTCTGTTTGTGTTTTCCTAAGCATTTGTGTTCCACCAGCACACTCAGAGTGAGTGCTCTCGAGGGGGAATTTCCTTCCTGGTAAACAATCCTGCAGTGTGATTCAGCAGGAAGGATGTGGTGGTTAAGGCATTGGACTGGGATTTGGGAGACAGGAGTTCTGTTCCCAACTCTACCACAGTCAAAATGTCATGATGAGTGGAAGGGCAAGCAAACAAAGAGGAGGAGCTGTGTAGCTGTGGCAAAAACACACTTTGACCTGGCCTGTTAGTCCGGATTGGGGTTAGGTAAATCTGGGGTTTGCATAGAATCATAGAATCTGCTGAGTTGGAAAGGACTCAGGATGATCGAGTCCAACACTTCACCCTGTGCAGGAGTTTTGTTTGGCTACTCAAGTGAAGACATTAGGGACTCCTTTTTATGCCGTTCAAATCTGGAACTCAGTTTATTCCAGGAACCCAGCTGTGTTTTTAACTCCATATTGTTTTACCTTCCGTGGGCTCTGGGATGCCACTTTCCAGTGCTTCTTGTTTGACTCGATTCAGTTTCCCATTGCATTCTCTGATCACAGGCACATGTCCTGTGGCTCCTACACCAAGCTCTACATGCATGTAGGTTCTCCACTCTCCTGCTAAATTCAAGGACAACAGACCACACACAAGATACTCTCTTTCTCACACGGGGTGAAGCTCCTACAGTTTGACAGTAACTCTACATTTTACATTTTCTTTCCAGAAACAAGAGCTTGGGCTGCATCTCTGAGTTTAGACCTCCAACCTCAGCATCCTGATTTGGTGCTGCCTTTGGGAAGATGAATCAGGACATTTACTCAAGTGATCCGCCCATGGGTGAGTTTTCATTCAGCATGATTTGCTTTCCATTTATTTTCTTACTGTTATTGGAGAAGAATGCTGAGTCACAAATAAAGCAAAACATGTGAATCAATGCCAAATTGCATGCCATAAAGATTATTGGATTTTTGAGGTTTCCTGTCCACATCTGGATATCAACATTCTTAGAATTCTAGTCCACGTTGAAAATTTTTATAGCAATTTTTTTTTCTGGAAGTTCTCACCAGTTCAGAAGAATACAGGGGGTTTATTACTGTGTTAGACAATTCATTCTGCTATTTGCCTAGACTTAGTTTTTTCATTAATTGCTTTGGTAATTGGTTACCCTTTGCAGTAAGGGAAGATGTGCACACACCATTGTCAGGTATGTCCCATCAAGTCCGAGGGTCGGGGTCCCTGCTGGAGAGATTGGATAGACAGGAATTTGTTACTTCTGGCTCAGACCTGCCATAAATTTGCTCTCTTCTCCCATGCCCAGCTCTGGCTTTGGGAGCTCACCGAGTGCTGCTGGCAGCTTGTGCTGGGAGAGGAGGATGCCAAGGGCTGTGCCTGCGGCCTCCCAGGCTCTGCTCAGCCTGGGCTTTTTTGGAAGTGTCAAGGGGCATTCTTAGCTCTGACGTGAAGGCTATTTTTTGACAGGTCCCATTGTTCCCCACTCTTTGTTCATGGGTGAGGTCTTTTTGTCTGAGGCCTTTGTCAGAAATAGAGGCTGTTAGGAGAGCTGTCTGCTCACAGGTTGGGGGAGTTTTCTTTTGTTGTTGAGTCCTGAGAATTTCTTCCTTGCTTTTACAGACTCGCTTGGGCAAACCTGCCCAGACAAATGAGGGAATTTCTGGGATCTCCCCTTGCTGGGCCTGCAGGGAGAGGGGTCCTCAGAGCTACCACCCATGTGCCCTGCTCTGGCTGTTCCAGGCCACATGGCTGGGGCAGAGCAATTTGGGGTTCTCAACATCTGCCTAAACTAAAGCCCTCGCCACTGTCCATGGATTTGAATCTGGGGCTCCAGAAATGGAAAATTTTAGAAAAATTCCTGTTGTAGCATGGAATATCTATTCTCTAATACTTAGCATGTACTTTTATTACTGTGAACAGGTGATGATGACACATCAGGATGTCATGGAGATTCATGAATCATCCACAGAAGGACCTAGAGGCTAGGTTTGGGGAAAAAGACATTCAAGTCTCTATAACCCATCCTGGGTGCTCATGAGAAATGTCTGGCCAGAATATTCATAGATTGCTCATTGCAGCCTTATTTTTTGTAGGTGTAATAAATGTTGTGGCGAGAGTTTAGAACCACTCTCTAAAACAGGCACAGGAATGAATCTGTCCGGAGCGACTCCTTTTCAATTAATGACTTATGTACTTTTTACACCTCCTGTTGAAGTGCTCAGTCCTGGTTGCTCTTGGAGTCAAGTCCTGGCTTAGACAGGTGTGATCACTGGTGATTTACATCCTGACTGAGGATAGGGATCTACCAATCTGGACCTCCATTTGTTCAGCTTCCGGCACCACCTATTGAGTTTTACATTGTTGGTTCATTTCATTCTCTGAGCTGCCACTGGAGCTATACTTAGAGAGGAAGGATATCATAATCTTGTGCAAGATTAAAATACTGTTACTGTAATCCAGCTGGAAGGGGAGACCTTTTCTCAGGGTGAGAGACAGCCAAGGTTTTTCCCATTCTGTCCTCCCCTTATATGCAGGAAGGAAGTACTGGCAAAGGCCCCCTGAGCTTCCTGAGGGCCCGGGAGTGCCTTTCCAGACACAGCCCGCTCCACCATCCATCAGCAGCCCAGCCAAACAATCCTGAGTGCTGCGGAAAACACCCGGCCAGGATAAACACTGCCATAATAAACAGCGGGAGCAGAGCTGGGGCAGAGCTGGGGCAGAGCGTGGGGCAGAGAGTGGGGCAGAGCCTGGGCAGAGAGTGGGCAGAGAGTGGGGCAGAGCCTGGGGCAGAGAGTGGGGCAGAGAGTGGGGCAGAGCCTGGGCAGAGAGTGGGCAGAGAGTGGGGCAGAGCCTGGGGCAGAGAGTGGGGCAGAGAGTGGGGCAGAGCCTGGGCAGAGCCTGGGGCAGAGAGTGGGGCAGAGAGTGGGGCAGAGCCTGGGGCAGAGCGTGGGGCAGAGAGTGGGGCAGAGCCTGGGCAGAGCCTGGGGCAGAGAGTGGGGCAGAGCCTGGGGCAGAGAGTGGGGCAGAGAGTGGGGCAGAGAGTGGGGCAGAGAGTGGGGCAGAGCCTGGGGCAGAGAGTGGGGCAGAGCGTGGGGCAGAGCCTGGGCAGAGAGTGGGGCAGAGCGTGGGGCAGAGCCTGGGCAGAGAGTGGGGCACAGAGTGGGGCAGAGCCTGGGCAGAGAGTGGGGCAGAGCGTGGGGCAGAGCCTGGGCAGAGAGTGGGGCACAGAGTGGGGCAGAGAGTGGGGCAGAGCCTGGGGCAGAGAGTGGGGCAGAGCCTGGGGCAGAGAGTGGGGCAGAGCGTGGGGCAGAGAGTGGGGTAGAGCCTGGGGCAGAGAGTGGGGGCAGAGCCTGGGGGCAGAGCGTGGGGCAGAGAGTGGGGCAGAGAGTGGGGCAGAGAGTGGGGCAGAGCCTGGGGGCAGAGCGTGGGGCAGAGAGTGGGGCAGAGCTGGGGCAGAGCCTGGGGGCAGAGTCTGGGGCAGAGAGTGGGGCAGAGCTGGGGCAGAGCTGGGGCAGAGCCTGGGCAGAGAGTGGGGCAGAGCTGGGGCAGAGCTGGGGCAGAGCCTGGGCAGAGAGTGGGGCAGAGCTGGGGCAGAGCTGGGGCAGAGCCTGGGGCAGAGCCTGGGCACAGAGTGGGGCAGAGAGTGGGGCAGAGCGTGGGGCAGAGAGTGGGGCAGAGCCGGGGCAGAGAGTGGGGCAGAGCCTGGGCAGAGAGTGGGCAGAGAGTGGGGCAGAGCCTGGGCAGAGCCTGGCGGCAGAGCCTGGGCAGAGCCTGGGGCAGAGAGTGGGGCAGAGCCTGGGCAGAGAGTGGGGCAGAGCCTGGCGGCAGAGCGTGGGGCAGAGCGTGGGGCTGAGCGTGGGGCAGAGCCTGGGGGCAGAGCCTGGGGGCAGAGCCTGGGCACAGAGTGGGGCAGAGTGTGGGGCAGAGCTGGGGCAGAGCCTGGGCAGAGCCTGGGGCAGAGAGTGGGGCAGAGCTGGGGCAGAGCCTGGGGGCAGAGCCTGGGGGCAGAGCCTGGGGCAGAGAGTGGGGCAGAGCTGGGGCAGAGCCTGGGCAGAGCCTGGGGGCAGAGCCTGGGGGCAGAGCCCTGCAGCCCAGCACCAGCCAGCTCCTCTGGGGCAGAGCCTGGCAGCAGGCACTGCACATTTGCTGTCCTTCCCTTTATCATTAAGTATCTTAACAATCAAAGTTTCCCTTCAAAGAAGCATCTCAGCAAGTCAGAAAGGGATGAAGGGAGGCAAAGGGCTGATGTTTGCTGAGGAGCTGCTGTGCTGGCAGGTGGTTGGGCCTGGGGCCAAGGAGATGCTGGGGATGCTCTGGACTGCAGAGTAGCCTGGGTGATGTGTGGGTCACTGTGGGTGCTGGGACGAGGCAAAGTTTCTGTCATCTCTTCAGGGCAGTGCTGAGGCAAAGCCAAGTGTGATGCCTTAAGGAAGGAGGAGCCAAGTCAGGTGGGAGCCACATTTTTGACTGGATCAACTTTGCCTAATAGGATTCTCTCCAAGAAGAGGCTCAGAACTGAACTGGGATCTTTTTCCCAGTATCACTGCTTTTGTTTAAATGCTGCATTACAATATTTGGGTCATATTTTCAGATCTATCTGCTCTGTAACCTGTTTTTAACCATTCCTTAAACCAACTATTTGGGTTTATATTTTTCAGTATGGCTCTAGCATCCTCAGAAACCTTGAGCTGGGAATTTCTCCCTACAAGTACCTGAAGGGAGTTTGTAGTGAGGTGGTGGTTTGGTCTCTTTTGCCCTCTGCCAGGGGACAGGCTGAAAGAAAATGGCCTTAGATGCAACAGGGGAGGTTCAGATTAGATATTAGAAAATTTTTTTTTGCTGAAGGAGTGGTCAGGCTCTGTGCTGACTACCTGCAGGAGCACCTCATCTTCCCAGCCAAATGTGCCTTTCTGGGGTTCTTTCATTCTTTCTCCTCTGTTTCACATTTTTATTGTCCTTTGTCTAGGCTTGCAGCAGGCAGGGGTGGGCAGTAAGCTCCTAAAATGCCTTTACAACACTCTGCAGGACAGAAAAAAATTTTTATTTAAGGTCTATAAAGAATGCAGGATTATGGAACCCTCATTTTAAAGCTGAAGGTATTTCTGCAGTGCTAGCACTTATTTTTTACAACTATCAGAAATGCACATAAGCAACAGCAAGTGAAAAAGAAAAGAAGGTAAGAAATTCCTGGGGATGGGATGGATAATACGCAGCAGCTCTGGCTGCATTTATGAAAACATTAACCCAAAAAATTTACCCATCTGGCCTAGAGCTAAAGAACAGCAGGTTTCCCCATGCTCAGTGCCAGGTGTAAATGCTGGAGGTTGAAGCTATTAACTGTAAAATAAAAAAAGCCGAACTCAGCAACCTGGTTTCGGGTCCTGCTGCAGCCCCCAAGTCCCCAGCCTGCAGGTGGCATTTGGTACTCTCATTTCCCTGTTTGTGAGAGCATTCATCTTCCCCTTTGTGAAGCTGTGTGACTGTACATGGCAAAGTGCTCACATTAACAGCATGCAGCATTTTTAAATTTCCTTCTAGAAAATAACTGATTGTGTGTTTGCTTGTCCTGGGCATCCTGTTTGGAAGGAGGCAGCACTGGAGTGCTCAGGGGTGTGATTCTGCTCAGGTCCTTCATGCATTGACCTCGTCCTTATTTCATCCTAACGATGCACTGTGACAGCAGCGGGTTAAAGCAGAGACAGGACTGTGGTTTTTTGGCACTGTCCTGTGAAGTCCAAGAATGCCAGCTGGAGATAAACCCACGAGCAATGAGGGGAACGTGGTACCCTGGAACAGGATCCACTGCAGGCACTGAGGGGGTTGTG